TATGGTTCAAGATTGATCCTTGAAAATATGATTTTCTAAATAGGGAATACGATTCCCAGTTGAAGGGAGAGAAAAATTTTTGAAATTCACCCCTTATTCCGCAATCTTTGGGCGTCCATAGGATGGATCTCTCATCCCTTCAGTTAGATCTATTTCAGCCTTTGACTAAGTCAGCAAGAGGATGTTTGTCTTAGAATGGGTGGAGTGATCATGTGGTTTAAAACCATGATCATTGAGACACTTGTCTCAATCTGAAGGGGTAGAACAAGATTAATGTTGGTGAGTTTATCCTTGGTAACGACTCTTATCTCTTCTTTCATAAGAGAGACGTTGTGGTAATTACCTATAAAAGGGAATGTGTAGAAATCACAAGTACAGTGACTGAATATCCTCTTTATTGGAAGGCTATCAAAACCTCCAAGAAGTTTTGCCCAATTCGGGTTGTATTATCAGCTTTGTGAAGTCCAAGATTGTGTTCAATGGATCCATCAAGAAAAGTGGAGTTATTCTTTATTTGCAGAATCTTATTTGCTTTTTATCTTTGTTACTATTCTGCTATTGTTTTTCACTTAAGACAAATGGGATTTCCACGCTCACCAAGAGCATATACAAAAATCCTTCACCGATCAACAACTGAATCAATCTTTGTCGATTCAGAGACATATATATATATATATCCAACTTCCCCCGCTTCAATGTCACTTGCTTTCTTTCTCCCCTTGGGGAAAAAAGAAAACGAGAGAAAATTCGGGGAAAAGGAAACCATAGTGAACCCTTGACTTGATTTGATTCGGAGAAGAACCTAGACAAATCTTTTGGAGAAAAAAAGAAAATAACCATCGATTCAATCAAAACAATTCACATATGCAAAAGTTTAGAGAGAGAGAGAGGGGGGCAAAGGTGGAGGGTGTTATCTCCGCCGTTGTTTAAGGATAATGCCAGATCGGTTTGCCGTTGCTGAAAGAAGAAGAAGAAGAAGAAGAAGAAGAGAGAGGGATGATGGGTAATATTGGATTTTAAAAGAAATTATTAGTCACATGGTGTCAAGTATGTATGGATTTTGACGGAATATTAATGGATATTAACAATTAGGGTAGAGTTAGTGGGATCCACTTATATAATCCAAAGTGGGGTCCATCTATTATTTTTCTCTTAAAAGAGAAAATTTTAAGAGGAACTCACCTATATATTATTTTCAAAATTTATTAATTATACATTAAATAGTTTTATTTTATTCAATGGGATCTACATGTAATTTTTTAGTTTTTTGAGTTTAATAGTTCCACATCAATATTTTCTATTATTTTATTCATTATTTAACGAATTGTGAATGGTGTCACTAACACTATGCCTTTTTAGCTAACAATGGCCTTTTTAACTTAGCCTGAGGTCCAAATTGGCCTTTCAAATTATAAAAGGGCAAAAGTGGCTTTTTTGCAAAGTTTATGGGTTGTAGAGTGAAAAAGTTAAAAAAAAAGTTTAAACCATTATCAAATGGCCCCTATTAGCTATTGGGTTATCGACAATTAGCAATTTTAGTATCATATATAGCAGTAGTTGGTGATGGTGCGCGATCTGGCTACTCCTAGCTGGAGGATGATCCGAACTCTGATTGGACAGCGAGCTGGACCGATATGCAAAATAGTGTATCAGAGAACCCGGGGTAGTTAACCTGGTGAGGTCGCTCTGATGCTTAAGTTAGTAATTCTGTTGTGAATGCGAGCTGAATGCTTGAAAGCTTGAGTGCTAGTGAGTAGAATAATCACGTGTACCTTTACCTTGAGGTTTTGAGTCATTATATACTGGAGTAGTCGTGGGCCTTATGAAAGGGCTCAGGGTTCTCTGGGTTGTGGGGATAAGGTTAGTTCCGTTTTTGAAGGAGAGTAGTATGTTGATAAGGTTTATTGCCTATCTTTGATTCAGGTGGAACTGGGATGAGTTCTTATCGTAATTTCGAGAAAGTCAGATCTGTTGGCTTATCGTGATCTCGAGAAATTCAGGATCTGTTGGGGAGGCCTTTGGAGTCGGTTACATGGCGTTCGGCTCATCAGCTCCGAGCTAGGACTTCAACTCTTTAGTCTCAAACTGGATTGGGTGTCGAGGTGCTATTACACCAAGGTGGGTTTTGGGCCGAGGTGGCTGAATACCCGAACTCCGGATGTTGCGAACTGGGCTTGCCTGGCTGAGTTGTCATCCTTCGATCAGATCGTGCCTACGTGTCCCCTTTTTGCTAGGTCATGCCAAATCACCCTTCATCAGTTGGTTTGTAAGGCTATCAATGGGTTGGGTCTGAAATAGAACCGGTGGGTCAATTTTGATTCTTGATATATTATCACAATTAATATCAATTTGGAATTGGTTCTACCTAGTCCTGAACTGATTCAGACCCAACCTAAGCTAAATATAATATATAATAAATTAAATAAATTAACACACACATATATATATATATTATATTTTCAATAGGTTTATTATATGGCTGCAAAAAATTAGGTTTATTATAATCAGGTCAGACCTGATTGTCCTGAGAATAGATCAATTCGATTTTGGGTCTAAAATTATAAACCGTAGCGGGTCTAGTTCAGTTCTGAGTCCTTTGTATTTCTGCTTTTTTTTTTCTACATTTAATTCAAAAGAAAAGGATAATCGGGAAGGTCCTTAGTATTTCTTATTGAATCGGTTATAGTTCTACTTGACCCAACCAATTGACAGGCCTACCGATTGGTCTATGTCAATTTATTCTCTCTCATACTCTCTATGTTTCACAAAACCCATAACCCCATGGTGTGTGTATATCTATATGTGTGTGTGAAATATATATTATTTGTATTTTAAAAATTTTCTTTATTTTAATTATTTAAAAAAATTAATTAAAGAAATTGGAAATCTGAAATAGGGAGGGGATCTGAAATGAAAGTTGACTTTTCTCACTTACAAGAGGGGATTAGGGTCCGAAATAGGGAGTTAGGAACTAATTTAAAAGTCAAGGTCGGGGATGGGAGTAGGGTCCCCGCCCAAACCCGTGCCCGTGCTCTCACCCCACAAATTCCAAAATAATATCAATGCCCCTTCGCTTTTTGGTAAGTCACTTATCCATGTTCTTTTATTTCTCATGTAAATAAGGTAATGACCATTTTAGTTATAAAAATTTCATTATTAAAAGGGACATTTTTGTTTCATCCAAGTATTGGCAACTTTTTCTTAGATGGGAAATTTAATTTACCCACCTAAGAGATGTGTATCACTCAGGAAAATAAATATTCACTGGTTCCCACATAAATATGAAAAATGAACATGGGTTTCTTGGTCAACTTTTCCCCCTCTTAAAATCCAAAAAAAGAATGCCCCCCAAGTGTCGATGGACCTATATGGTTCATACTTTGGTCAAGTTTGGATTTCTTATTTGAAAAATAAGTGCTTATTCTAATAAGCACTTGTTTTAAACAAGGGTAGTATAGGTATTTTTAAAATGATGCGATGGGCCAAGAATAGGGGTGCAACGTAGGCAAGCCCAGCCCGAACTTGGATTGGCCCAGCTTGAAATTTTACATGAGATAGGTTTGGATTTTTGATCATCGAGCTCAAGAAATCAGGCTTTTTTATATTTTGAATCGGGCCTAGCCCTTAGGTAGTCCAAACCCGACCTGAGCCTGATCCAACTATACATATTCATACTTACATATGTGTATGTATGTGTATGTGTATATATATGTATGTATAAATTTAGAGTGGGTTCATTGGCTAACCTGTGCTTGGCCTAGGCCCAATCCTAACTTGAGTGCATTAAATTACAATGCGGGCTGAACTTGGGTGGGGAATATTGGGCTTGGTTTGGGCCTTAAGACCAAATTTTAGGGTCGGGCCCAAGTTGACCATAAACCCGACCTAACCCACTCGACTTGCATCCCTAACTCTTAAAAGTAAATTCAATTTTCAAAATTTGAGTTTTTCAAATAAATGCTTATTTTAAAAATTAATACTTATTTTTTAAATAAGTGATTATTGATATTTGATAATTTGGTATGATCTCGGTCAAAATAAACGAGTATTCGAATAAGCATGCATTCCTAAACTTCAACCATCACCGGCAGTTTTCGTACGGACAACCGTGACGACCAAGGAATGGTTTCGTGTGTCGAGCAAGAAAACGCTATGGACAGCAGACACTGTGGACGTAGACAGCCAAAATGTTCCTAGTCTCCGCCACAACCACCCTGAGGCTTTTTAATTTTTTTGAGGCACCCAGGCACCTATTTCTTCTTATTTTTTCTTAATTAATGATGACTTAATAAGTAAACAAAATAGATAATCAAAGCCTAAAGGTTTGCTTTCTTTATGACTATTTCTTGGGCACAGGGAGTCAATTATCCTTGGGGGATTTAATGCGCTCACAAGTCTTTTTAAGTCATAGCTTACTCTCTTTCTCCTAAAGGCGTAGTAAATAGCACCTCGGTCTTCGGCGATCGGCGGGGAGCGGGTGGGCGAGAGTATGGAGGAGGAAGGATTGTTGGTGAAGGAGAATAAAGAAAGGAGGGAGGAGGTGTTGAGATGGGATGATATTGTAGAGGAGGTGAAGCGCGTAGGCTACATGGCAGGGCTGATGATTGCAGTTACCGTGTCGCAGTACTTGCTTCAAGTAATCTCGGTGGTGATGGTCGGACACCTCGGTGAAATCTCTCTCTCTAGCGTTGCTATCGCCACCTCCCTCACCGGCGTCACCGGCTTCAGTCTTCTCGTAAGTCTTTTTACTACTTTATTAGCTTTCCACCGCCCAGGAGTGAGGAGCATCGCCTCAACACTTGCGCATCAACACTTCAAGGGTATGGTTACCTTTCCATGACTAATAATTAAGCATGTTCATATTAATTAATTAAAATTTCGATATATCATCATTAAGATATAAATTGAAAATTAACATTAATAATAATATAATTAAAAATAAATTTGAATGCTCATAATTATATTATTATTTTAAACTATAAAAATAATTATGTTATTATTATTAAATTTTATATTCCATTTCTGTCATAAATAAAAATAATTTTTATGTTAACAATTATTTTTATTTAATATATGATGAATATATAACATTAGAAATGTTCCCAAATGTTTATGACAAAATTCTGTATTTTTTTTTTCATTTTTTGTGTTATATCTTTTTTAAATAATTATTATTCAATTATGACATCGTGAGTTTCTTTGAAAAGTTGGATCATTGATCCACCATCTAGATAAGAAATAGCTTTTCTTTCAAATCAATTTTAAATTATATATTTCATCTATATTATATAAATATTTTTTATTTATCATACTTAATTTTTTATATAATTAATACATAATTTTTTATAAATTCTTTTAATTATTTATACTTTTTTATTTTTTAAAGATATATTATTTAACTATCATATCATTGATTAATCCATTTGACTCAAACCACAAACCCACCACCCAAAAAGAAAAATAGTTTGATTTCTAGATTGACATTAAATTTTGTATTACATTTCCATCATTGATAAAATTTTTTCTTATGTAGAATACTTATTTTTGTTCAATATAATGAATGTACAATATTAGAGATGTACCCGATATTTTATTTTTTTATAAATATATTACATTATATATGTGCCCAAGTTTTTTCTCTATTTTTTTTTCATTTTAGTGATTCTTTGTATTTTCTATTTTTTAAAACTTTATTATTTGATTATGACATCATTTTAATTTCTAGGTTGATTTTAAATTTGATATTCCATTTTCATCATTAATAAAAATACTTACATTTCATACTTATTTTTGTTTAGTATAATGAAAATACAATGTTAGAGATATACCCAATTCTTTTTTTTTGTATTATATATTATATTTATTTATTTAATATTTAATTATGACATTATTTATTAATCCGTTTGACCCTAAATGGTTGAATTTCTTAACCACCATCAGGAGGGAAGATAATTGTTTTGTTTTTAAATTACTTTTCAAAATATTTATTTTTGTATTGTTAAAATTAATATTATAGATTTAATAAGAGAATTTAATGATGATAAAAATAAATCTTAAATATAGGATTTAATTTGAGAATATACCTTAGATATTAGATTTAATGGGAAAGAATAGGAAAGTAATTTTATTTCCAATTGGTTTTAAATTTTACATTCCATTTACATCATTAATAAAAATGATGGTGCTCGATTTGCTTGGAGAGCTTCGAGTGAGAGAGCGGCCCGAACCCTATGAAAGAGATGGTGTCCGAGGGCCTGGGTTGTGAGCCCAGGCAAAGAGGCTTCGGCGTTCAAAATTCCAATTAGTGCTGAATTTGACGGAAAGAAGGATAATTCCGAGCAGAGAGAGCAAAGAGAGCTAGAATACCTTCTCAGAGAGCCTCCCTTGTGAAAGTGAAGGCACCCCCTTTTATAGAGTTGGGGGATGATCAAGGTGCTCCTGAGATTCTTGGAAGTCATGGATCTTGGTGTGTGGATTCTTAGGAGCTCATGGGAGCATTCTTTGGATGAGCTGCTTGCTGTTTTCGTCAGTTGCTCGACATGTTTCCGAGGATCTCGGAGGCGTTAATTGCTTGGAAGGTGTTTCCCATGTTGACATGGCAGGTCGGAGTCATTCTACCGAAATGTTAATTTGTGCCTAGGTCGCCTGATATCTCGAGGAGCCCGAGGTGGAATCGATGTCTTGGGCGGCTTTGATTGACCGTTGTGGATGATCTACTAAGGTCACTTGAGGATACACAGATCCCTCCCGATGGCAAATGCTTTCCGAGGTCACTCATGCAAGTCCCGAGATCTTTGAGGTGACGTGGCGCTAGGTGGCCAATGTGTCAATTTCACCCATCATCAAAAAACATTTCTTATTTATCATACTTATTATAATTTAATATGCCAAATATATGATGCTAAAAATGTTCCCAGTTTTTTTTCTTTTTTTAATTTCTATATTCTTTTGCATTTTATTATTTAATTTTGGCAACACTATTTTTTTCAAGTAGATTTTTTTTGGTAAATAATTTCCAAGTAGACTTTAAAAATACGTATTTTTATATTATTGGAATTATTAATTTATTATGTTCGGATTTAATTAATAGAATTTAAAGATGAAAAAAATGCTTTAAATATAAATATATGATTCAATGAAGGTGAATGCAAGTTAAATGCCTTAAATATTAGACATAATGAGAGGGAATTGAATGCACTAGATATCTTAAAATTACCCCATTTACCTTCATTTTTTATCAATAAATTTAAATATGAAAAAATAAATTTTTTCTTAAAAAAAATTCCAGAATAGATTTTCTTGTAGGATCAACAGTCACGTGAGTGTTGTGGCGATTGGCGGGAACACAACTGGCCATTGAATTTGGGTTTCGGTTGAAATAATCACAACCGTCCATCTAGTGTGTTCATGTACGATCCGCCGATCTCCCAATCCGAAGGCTGCTGTACAAAGGGTTCTTGATGGACGGTCACTTGGAATGTAAATCGATTGCAAACTATTAAGGTGTGTTTTAGTAAAACGCAAATCTAAAACTAAAACCTTCAAAAAAATAAAAAAATGCAAATCTCCCAAGCCTATCCCTTATTACAGGTGTTAATCCAAGAATGGGCCGGGCCCATGATTACCACCATTTGGCAGGTAGCAACTGGCAAGCCAAGGCTGGAGGTCCCACATGAGGGCCCTACTCTAGTCCCAGTTCAGTAAAACCCAGCCAACCCAACCTAAAACTTAGGTTGAACCAGCCTGCTATTTATTGGTCCAATTTGTACCCAGTAAATTTGGGCTTTTAATGGGTCGTGAAGATCCCAATAGGACTGATCCCAACTGACCCAATTACATAGGGTCTGGATCTTACGTGTATTTCTCAATTTAACAAATTCACAGGTTTACTGCTAAATTAAGAGGTTAAAAAATAGAGCTGTCTATTATAATTGGGTGACCCAATAATCCCGATCAATAATTGGGCTGTTTCTGAATCTATTGTCATAAAACCATCTGGTGTGGAACTGGTTTGGTAACAGGTCCATCCTGACCCGGGCCCAACCCGACCCGATCAAACAAGGTAACTAACAGATTATTCTGTTTGGGACAAGCAGCTTGGGCTGGCAAGTGCACTGGAGACTCTATGCGCGCAAGCATATGGTGCACAACAATATAGAAAGCTTGGAATCCATACTTATGGTGCCATTCTCTCTCTCAATTTGGTTTGTGTCCCTCTATCCCTCATATGTGCTTTAATGGCAAAACTTCTAAGACCCGATCTTTTTCACGGAGGACGACGCGTGCGGGGTCCACTACCCCACGATGATGCGCTCGTCGTGAAAATAAGGATCAACGACTTTGAAGTCAAGCGTGTCCTCGTAGATTCTGGCAGTTCAGCGGACATTCTCTTTAAGGCGGCGTTCGACAAGCTTCAACTCCAAGAAGGCGATCTCAAGCCCGCAAATACTCCCTTGGTGGGATTCAACGGAGAGGAAGTCAGGCCCCTGAGGAGAATCTCTATACCTGTGGAGGTCGGCACCTGGCCTAGCATAGTAAGGCTCAATCATGATTTCTTGGTGGTCGCGACTCCCTCCCCGTACAACGCCATATTAGGTCAGCCCATCACCCACGCCCTACGTGCGGTGGTCTCCACCTACTATCTGGCAATGAAGTTCCCTATGGACTTCGGAGTTGGGGTGGCGCGAGGCGATCAACTTGAGTCTCGTAAGTGCTACGTCGCCGCTCTCAAAGGAAAACCCAAGGTGGCAGACGACCTCGAGCTGGAGCGACCTGTGGAGCAGTGCGAGGAGCGAGCTGCACCCACAGAAGAGACCGTCTCCGTCCTGACTTCGACAGAGGACCTAGCTCGGACACTCCAGATCGACGCTTCGATCGAGAAGCCTCTGCGATCCCAACTCGTAAGTTTTTACTTGAAAATTTAGATGTTTTTGCATGGTCCGCGACAGAGATGCCCGACATAGACCCTAGCATCATCACTCACAAGCTGAATATTGATCCTGTAGTTAGGCCCGTTAGACAAAAGAAACGCAACTTAGCCCCAGAACGCTGGAGAGGAGTTGACGAGGAGATCGGGAAGCTCCTTGCAGCCGACTTTATCAGGGAAGTCCATTACCCGAGCTGGGTGGCCAATCCCGTTCTGGTAAAAAAGGCTAACTGTAAATGGCGCATGTGCGTCGATTATACCGACCTGAACTGAGCTTGCCCAAAGGACTGCTTCTCACTCCCCAGGATCGACCATCTGGTGGACGCGACCTCAGGGCATGAGTTGCTGAGTTTCTTAGATGCCTATTCGGGCTACAACCATATTAGGATGGACCTTGCTGACGAAGAAAAGACTGCCTTCATAACCGAGCTCGGCCTGTACTACTACAAGGTCATGCCCTTCGGACTGAAAAATGTCGGGGCAACATTCCAAAGACTTGTAAATAAATTGTTTGAGCTGTTGATTAGAAAGAAAATAGAATGCTATGTAGACGACATGGTCGTCAAAACTCAGTTTTCAAGTGATTTAATACAAGATTTGCATTTTGTTTTTGAGGTTTTGCGTAAATTTAATATGAAGTTAAACCCGAACAAGTGTGTTTTCTGTGTCACCTCGGGTAAATTCCTAGGGTACATCGTTAACCGGCGTGACATTGAGGTCAACCCGGATAAAATTAAGGCCATCCTAGATATGAGACCGCCTCGGAAATTGAAGGAGGTTCAGAGGCTGAATGGCCACATAGCCGCTCTGAGCCGCTTAATGTCCAAATCGGCAGATCGCTGCCTGCCTTTCTTTAAAGCAATTAAAAGTAAAGGCTTTGAATGGATCGAAGAA